TATTTTTTTATTATTGTTTAATATATTGTTTCATGAAAGCCACCTGAGATCAGAGCCGCCATCGGTGTGCCAGCACAGAACACATACAGTGGGTACGGAAAGTATTCAGACCCCTTTAGATTTTTCACTCTTTGTTTCATTGCAGCCATTTTCCAAAAATCAAAAAAGTTCATTTTATTTCTCAGTAATGTACACTCAGCACCCCATCTTGACAGAAAAAAACAGAAATGTAGAAATTTTTGCAAATTTATTAAAAAAGAAAAACTGAAATATCACATGGTCATAAGTATTCAGACCCTTTGCCGTGACACTCATATTTAACTCAGGTGCTGTCTATTTCTTCTGATCATCCTTGAGATGGTTCTACACCTTCATTTGAGTCCAGCTGTGTTTGATTATACTGATTGGACTTGATTAGGAAAGCCACACACCTGTCTATATAAGACCTTACAGCTCACAGTGCATGTCAGAGCAAATGAGAATCATGAGGTCAAAGGAACTGCCTGAAGAGCTCAGAGACAGAATTGTGGCAAGGCACAGATCTGGCCAAGGTTACAAAAAAATTTCTGCTGCACTTAAGGTTCCTAAGAGCACAGTGGCCTCCATAATCCTCAAATGAAAGACGTTTGGGACGACCAGAACCCTTCCTAGAGCTGGCCGTCCGGCCAAACTGAGCTATCGGGGGAGAAGAGCCTTGGTGAGAGAGGTAAAGAAGAACCCAAAGGTCACTGTGGCTGAGCTCCAGAGATGCAGTCGGGAGATGGGAGAAAGTTGTAGTAAGTCAACCATCACTGCAGCAATCCACCAGTCGGGGTTTATGGCAGAGCGGCCCGACGGAAGCCTCTCCTCAGTGCAAGACACATGAAAGCCCGCATGGAGTTTGCTAAAAAAACACCTGAAGGACTCCAAGATGGTGATAAATAAGATCCTCTGGTCTGATGAGGCCAAGATAGAACTTTTTGGCCTTAATTCTAAGCGGTATGTGTGGAGAAAACCAGGCACTGCTCATCACCTGTCCAATACAGTCTCAACAGTGAAGCATGGTGGTGGCAGCATCATGCTGTGGGGGCGTTTTTCAGCTGCAGGGACAGGACGACTGGTTGCAATCGAGGGAAAGATGAATGCGGCCAAGTACAGGGATATCCTGGACGAAAACCTTTTCCAGAGTGCTCTGGACCTCAGACTGGGCCGAATGTTTACCTTCCAACAAGACAATGACCCTAAGCGCACCGCTAAAATAACGAAGGAGTGGCTTCACAACAACTCCGTGGCTGTTTCTTGAATGGCCCAGCCAGAGCCCTGACTTAAACCCAATTGAGCATCTCTGGAGAGACCTGAAAATGGCTGTCCACCAACGTTTACCATCCAACCTGACAGAAGTGGAGAGGATCTGCAAGGAGGAATGGCAGAGGATACCCAAATCCAGATGTGAAAAACTTGTTGCATCTTTCCCAAAACGGCTCATGGCTGTATTAGATCAAAAGGGTGCTTCTACTAAATACTGAGCAAAGGGTCTGAATACTTATGACCATGTGATATTTCAGTTTTTTTCTTTTTTAATAAATTTGCAAAAATTTCTACATTTCTGTTTTTTTTCTGTCAAGATGGGGTGCTGAGTGTACATTACTGAGAAATAAAATGAACTTTTTTTGATTTTTGGAAAAATGGTTGCAATGAAACAAAGAATGAAAAATTTAAAGGGGTCTGAATACTTTCCGTACCCACTGTATAATAATAGTGTGTAATGTATTCACCTGGACAGGAGGAGGCAGGTGTGCTCCATATTACACCGAAGACAGAACACAGGGCTGTGGACACGGAGAGAGACAGGAGGATTAACGATGTGTTCAAACAGTATGAGTCCTCGTCAGTATTGTCCAGCACTAATTCCTAGCCACATCTGAAGAAACTCGTGCAGTACATCAGAGTCTCAGTACTTGTGTATGATAACTACTTTTTCTATCTTACCTGAAAATACTTGGGAATGTATCTGCAGCCAGGTGATGGACAAACACTAAGTGAGCCAGGCTGGCCAAAGACTCTTTAGGATAACGCACCTCCTCCTCCAGAAAGCCTGGAACCAGTTTTCTCTTCAACAGAGGCTGGTACACAAGACTGGGGAGGGACTCTCCGATAGAACTGAGGGTGTTCTGTACAAAACACACAAACTCACCGTTAACATTACAGCTGACAAGGTAATCTGCCAGCATCTTCAGATTTTGTATTGACTAAGAAAGTCAGTAGAAATACCAAGTGAAAGTTCAAATGACTATGAGCTCATAAGTAGTGAAACTCATTGAGAACATAGCAAGCATCCACAAAAAACTGTGTTTCACTGACACGTTGCTGTAGAAACCAGTCAAATTTGTAGGACCCATCTCTACATTTACACTAACGTTACAGGACAGCATCAGTGGGGATTTGCCGTACCAGAATGTCTGTGGCAAAATTCCTGAGGGGAGACACAGCAAGTGTCTCAGGATCTTTGAGTTGTACCTCCAGCAGAGGGCGACTCAGAGACTTCATACAGCTGCAGGACAGAAAAACAAGAGCCAAGATGAGCATATCGGGGTTCTGCTCCTTACCAATGCATAATGTGAGATAACATGTGGGGAAATATTTTAAAATCATTTTCACTCACAACTTTAGCAGTTCTGTCTGCAGCTCGTCCTCTTTACCCCTGTCCTGTCCACACGCCATCTTGTTTGTGCTCACATTTTCTTCCTTACTGTTCACGAGGCTTTGCCTGGCCTCGCCGACAAAGGGTCTGACAAAGTCTGACAGCTCGGCGCAGCAGCGACAAAGCGAAAAGACGTCATCCTCCTCTTGCTCCTTGGTGTGAGGTAGAGGCAGTTTGGCCACCTGGTCCAGCACAGAGGACAGGGTCATGCCCAGTGACGACGCCTTACGGCTGCCCAGACACAGCAGCACTGAGAGGAAGACACCGATGAGGAGAGAGGAGAGAAATGGCTCTATTTGAGCCGATTACAAGTGCAGTGGAGTACTTAAAGAAATGTTCTTTACCTTTCTGTAGAGGGTTCAACAGCAGATGGAGGCTCTCTGCTATGGTGTCAGGGTCATCCTGCTCCAGCTGTTCCAACAAGCCAATCAGAAGCTCTTTGGGTCTGCACGTCTGGAAAAACCACAACTGACCCTTAAAAGAACAATTTCATCCCGACACTCAAGACATTAAGCATCTATATACACTGCGAGATTTGTCAGTGGGTCATATTAAATTATAACTAGTGTTTAATCTTATATCCAATCCTGTGATTTTGAACTGGAACTGGGCTGCAATCAATCAACACTGTGATCTGTTGAGCAGGTGAGCAGACCTGTAGCAGGTGGTTGAAAACGGCCAGGCAATGAGAAAGGTTCTTGTCTTCTTTCTTCAGCAGAACCTGAATCAGGGGAGGCAGCAGATTCCAACCCATACATCTCACTATGTCCTACAGAAAGAGGGATAGAGGAGTGATTGCAGGGCAGTATGCATCACACTTATGAACAAGTCTACGTGCTGAACCAATGGTCAGCTTTGAGTAGTGTACCTGATTCTTTTCATCCAGGACTATGCTGAGGACCTGTGCTGTGTTCCCCTCCTCGATGCAGGCCCGCCCAGCAATCGTGAAGACGTCATGATCCTCGGTGGTGTAGCTGTCATCAGGGAGGGCTTGCTGTGGGAAAGAGAGAAAAATAAAGGGATTAAAAGAGAGCAAATCCAGACATTTTATTAAATAAAATTTATTAGAAAATTAGACAGAGCTATATCTCAAATAAGACAACTAATCAACAATAATTTTAAGGCAAACATACCTGTTTCCAGCTTCTCAATGTCACACTGAGAAGCTGGAAAGAGGCATGCCTTTAATTAATTGTAAATTGAAATCATTTTGGACTTTTGGTTGGGAAAAAAACAAACTCATGTCACTTTAGGATCTGGGAAAATGGGACTGGTATTTTTCACACATTTTATATATTTACAGTTAATCAAAAACCTGTTGGTAATCGAAATAGCTGCTAGTTGCAGTCCCACAGTCTTTCAATTAGGGCTGGGCCACATGGCAACCAAATAAATATCTCAATAGAAAAATGTGCTAATTTGTTTGTGATTGAAATTAAATAAATCAAACATTTATTGAACATTTATAGCCAAGCCCTACTTTCAATTTAAGATACTTAAGGCTAGTGTAATGTGGCATAGACAGTGTCAACACACTGTAAAAATGTCTCTCTCACTTATGACTGCAATGTCAGAAAAGGTTTTCTGAACTGATTGGAGCAGACTGAGGGCCGTGCTGTGCAGCTAAAACAGAGCTGAGAAGCACCACTATTGCTCTCTGTATAAATACAGATTACATGTACCACATAAATCAAATCACTACCCTGAATAACATGTCTGCAGAATCCATGATGGTGAAATGTGGAAGGTGTGGATGCACGTAAAATAAAAAGGTGGGTGTCCCCTGAAGCACTCACACATCTCTGGACCACATCACTGAGCTGCTCCAGAGCCATCCCTGCAGCTGTCCTCATGTGGGGTTTATCTTCACAAGGTAGTTAACTTAGTCCTCCAAAGCAAACAGGATACTAAATGTCAACATAATGCACACCATACTACTTAATGAAGACGTTGTAAGCGTGTTTATTCCTCATTTATATGCACGAACACCCGGGTTAAGTTAAGGTTATGGTAAGGTAAACCTGTGTGGGCAACAGAAAACTGGGCAGTCTGCTATAAACAGAGGGGAGCAGAAAGGATGCTAGCTTATAATTCTGAATTAGCTTAGCCGTTATACTGAAAGAAAGCTTTTCTTGTGCTATCCTAGCTATCCACACACAGCCACAAACAGTGAGCACTGTTGCCGATTACAAAAGTGATAAACAGGACAATAGTACAGGTAGATACCCACTTATGATAACTACATGCCCGGTGAAAAGCACCACGCTACCTGCTGAACGTGCTAACGCTGGATTGTCCACTGGGGCTCGCCGTAGAAAGAAATACGTCATAGGTCAAAGTTGAAATGAGGGAAAACAGAAACAGCATGGAGACGGAGGAGAGGAGTGGGAGCGGACCTCCCGCTGAAACCTCAAAAAAAGGTACGTTCACATTAATAATTACTTCTCTCGTGTCAGTATCAGGCTTTCTGAACACGTCTACACCCCGAACAGACGCAAGAAAGGAGTTTAAACATAAGTTAATGTTGCACACAGGTACTTTGTGTAGTTGCTCATTGACTGGCTCATTGGTGTAACGTTAGCTTGCTGGTTTCCACCTCACATTGATGCTGATTGATGATCTTTTAACAGTGTTGTTGTTGTTTGTGTGGCAGGTGGGAAACGCGTGAAAGCACTGGCCGCTAAAGAAGCAGCAAGAAGGTGTGAAAAAGGGCATATTTTCAGTGGATGCTAACGTCCAGCTAATGCACAAACACTTTACAAAGATTGTAGATTGGTTGCAGAATATTACGGAAGCGCATTGCATTCACCAAAGAAAAATAAAGTAGACACCTTATCTCGTGATTATGAGAAAAGAGTCATAAATACTACTAGTAATTATGATATATTTTCTAGTACTTTTGTAGTAAAACTGTTATCCATAAACCTATGAAGTCTTCTAGCAAAGAAATGTATGTAAACAAGTTTCTGCATTGGAAGTATCAAACTGATAACTTACCTTTCTGCTGCTGTCTAGTGGTTCTACTGAGCAAAGCAGTGGCCAGTAAGTGGCACCTTTCCAGTTGTCTCATAATTACGACATCCTGATTTAGTAATTATGAGATCATTTCTCATAATTACGATATAAGAGGTTTAAAAAAAAAAAAGAAAAATCTTAGTTGAATGCAATGCGCTTCTGTAGAATATTTCTCCCTCTCGAGTTTAATCAGTTTTCTAGAGATAGTTGTAGTAGTGTCAGTAGGTGACAACCCTTCACCCCAAATGTGTGTTCTCTGTCTTGTGTCAGGCGAGAGGTGGTTAGGGAGACGTTATGGCAGAAGTTGGACTTGGAGAAGAGAGCCCTGAAGGTAGTGGAGCGTCTTCAGGAGGACAGTGTGGCCGAGGACTTCCTGATTGATTGTGTATGTACCATCTGAGGCCACTTTTGCAGCACACCAACAGAAATCTATGGGATTGTCCATGGTCTACAGTCAGACTACAGGGTGACTTGAAAGAGAAATTTTCTTTTCTGCCTGTCTGGTTCGGTGTCAATTTCATTTGCTGTCCATTAACATCCTGACTAAGGCTGCAACTACCGAATAATTTCATTATCAATTAATCAGTCGATAGTTTTCATGATTAATCAGTTAGTTATTTGGTGCATCAGATGGTGAAAAATGTCGATCAGTGTGTCCCAAACCCTAAGATGACATCACTAAAATGTCTTGTTTTGTCCACAACCCAAAGATCTTCAGTTTACGGTCATAGAGGAGTAAAGAAAGTGTAAGTATTCGCATTTGAGAAGTTGGAATCAGGGAATTTTTTTGTTATTTTCTAAAAAAATCACTCAAAACGAATAATTGGTTATGAAAATAGTCGGCAGTTAATTTAACAGTTGACAACTAATCGGTTAATCATTGAATCTCTAATCCTGACTGAGGAGCCTTTCCCATGTTGATTGTTAAAGTGTTTCTATCCAAAGGACATGGATCAGACTACATTTTTTTAATTTTAATTATAGTGTTAACATCAGTACAGGTGAGGCTTAAAAAATTGTGACCTAAAGTAACAGTGAGATAATAACATTTTAAATTTTAAATCCATACTCTTACATCTAAGTTTTCTCTTCAAGACGCAGTGAAGTCTTTTTCTGTTCAGATGTCGACCAACAAGTAATTTCCCCTGTCAAGTACTGATTTTTAAGGTTTCTGCTCACTCAGTGAGAGGCAGCCATGACAAGACAGATATATGTTCAGTTTTGGAGGAAGCTGCCCTTGTGCTGTGTTTTTAAATCACCAAGAATTTAAATACCATGGAAATAAATACTTTGAGAATCTTAGGTTTTCACTGTTGAGGTTCAGGTTTGACCCTCATGTCTCCTTTCTTCACAGGTGAAGTTCATTACTCCTGCAAATTACAAAGACGCTATAGAGGAGAGATTCATTTCTAAGCTGTGTGGTTATCCCATATGTTCAAATAAACTGGGCAAGGTAAGACCCTTTCTATCAGCCTTTATGGTCTTATACAAATAATAAATGTCCTTGTGTCAATATATTTTATGCTTCTAATGTGTTTTCTCAAGACTCTCTGCTACTGTTCATTTTCTAGATCCCAACTCAACGGTATAAAATTTCTACTAAGACCAATAAGGTGTATGACATTACAGAGCGCAAGGTAAGTGTAACATTTACACATTAATCCATTTACTTTTGAAGAAACAATAAAAGATGATCAAATAAAGATTATATTTTGCATTTCTCTCTTGTGATTAGTGTTTTTGTAGTAACTTCTGTTACAAAGCCTCCAAAGAGTTTGAGTTACAAATACCGAACACACCTCTTTGGCTCAGGCAGCATGAAAGGTACGTATGCTGTTCGTGTCTCGTCCTAAAGCACGATGAATTTATCACTGAAGATTTTTATTTTTTAAAGAGTATTTACTTTATTTCCCACTGACAGTCCTCCAGAAATTAGATTGATGAAGAAAGGAGATGGGTATGTATTAACTCATTTTAAATATTCCATTCAAAGTAAATAGCAACATATCGGATATATCTGTTTTTTAGAGATGATTCAACTAAATAATAAATAATATGCATTTTTAGGTGTTTGAATTTCTAGATGTAATATAGGTTTTATAATAAATAGACTGATTTATAATAAATAGACTGATTGAGTGTAACCTCTGTGTCTCCAGCGGGAGTTCTGGTGAGGAGGTGAAGCTGTTGGAGAGGCGTCTTCAAGAGGAGGATATCGACGACCCGCTCTCTGCTCAATCTGAGGACCCTCCCAGCTCTCTGCAGCATTCCGCAGCAGCAGACCTAAGCCACAGTGAAAGCAGTGACATTGAACAGGAGCAGGACTTCGTCTCCAGCGTGGTTTCCCAGCATCAGGGACCCAAGGTGCACTGGGGCGAACTGCCTAAACGTAGAGATGAAGACAAGAATGGTGAACGAGGGAAGACAGAGAGGCAAAAGAAACAGACAAGAGAGGGAGATGAAGAGGAGATTGAGTGTCATCAAGGAGGGGACCCAGAAAGGGAGGGAAAAATGAGAGAAGACAAGAATAGACAAGAGTCACTTTCAAGTCAAAGAGAAGCTGGAACTGACTCTAAAAAACCCCAACAGCTGCTCTTATTAAACAAAGACAAACCATGTGCAGAGCAGGGGCCAGAGCAGAAAGGCTTGCCTCAGGAACTCAGTGTGGAAGAGGCTGCAGCTAAGCTGAATTTGTGCAGTTTATCTGGCACTCGCACTGCTCCCCTGCCTGTTGACTCAACAGCCACACAAGCAGATCTACTCACCTCTCCAGTGTGTAAAGACTCAAACCCCTCAACAGAAAGCAAACCTCTCCCTTCTTCAACTCCGATCAACGCGGAATGGGACGACCACAAAACCGCATTGACCAGCCAGCCAGGTCTCAACATCACCCAGGTGGGAATGAGCAAGAGAGGGGCAGCAGGGCTACGAGATCTGCTCAAGAACCACACCGCTGGAGCCGAACCTGAATCTGTCCGCCTGAATCTCCTCGAGTGCCTGAGAAGAACGTTAAAGGACTGGAGCACTGACGAGACCCTGAAGTTCCTGTACGGCGCTAAGCATTCACTAGGCTCTCCTTTTGCTGACGTTAAAGAAGACAAAGAAGCTGAAGAAGAGGAGGAGCTGGATGAAGATGACCTTGAGGATGAGGTGACCGATGAGGATGCAAAGGGGGATGATGCTGCGGTGCAGAAGAGACCGTCTGCCGCAACTCCAGACTATAAGACTCTTCAGGAGGAGAACCGGCAGCTGGAGCTAAGAGTCAGGGAGTTTTATAAGGGGACCTGGATCCTGCCTGAGGGGGTGGAGGAGCCAGATGGAAACAAGGTGAGTGGAGGAAAAAGAGAAGAGGGTTGGAATGAAGGGACACGTGGAGGCACTATATTAAAAATATTGATTGGAACAGTAGAAAATGTGTTTATGCGCTCAGGTTTGCTTTTCCAACACTAACACATCTTGTTCGTTCCCCCACCAGGTGAAGGACCAGAGCCTGAAGGACCCGGTTCTGCCACTCCTTGACTCTCATGCTCAGCACGTCATCCGGAAACGAATCACAGTGGAGAAGCTCACCAGCTGGTGTGTGTGTGTGTGTGTGTTAATTGTGTTTCATGTTGTGGACACCTACGTACATGTATACCCAAAAAACTTCTGTCTATTTATTTATGTGTGTTTTCAGCTGTGAACATATACAGTAGGTCATGTTTGTAGCTTGGCTGGTAAAACATAGCTTTGCCAATCCAGAGATACTATGTTCAAACCAATTTACCATGTAGTTATTAACGTGTTAATCGAGCTGTGAGCCCTGGCAGTGACATTCTTGAATTTCTATTGTATTTGTCACTCTTTGTCCCCTATCGTTTTGTCTCTGTGTTGTGCAGCCTCAGAATCATCGTCGGTTCTCTGGGTCTCACCATGAGTGACGTCTCCACTGACCTGAATAACCTGGTCAGGACTTTCAGGTTAGTGCAGCACACACAAATACACACTACTCTCTGCAGATCTGCTTGCAAAACGTTACACACACACACACACACACACACACTCATCATTTTCTCATCTCATCATTTTAGCATGCTTACACGGCATGTGTCACAAAAAATTGTTTTTTAACGTCTTGTGGAGGCAGACAACTCTACGTTGACGGGGCATCATGGTTCACATCAACACATTTAAAGGTACAGGACTAGAGCCAATAGCTGCAATTGAGGGTGACATTGAGGATTTTCACTCCTGTTCCATTCCACTCCCACAAAAATACTACTGCCTGTCCCAATCCTGGAAGAATGACTCCTGTTTCCCTGTCCCAGAAAATAGCGTTTATTCATGTAAGAAATGCATATTCATATATAAAAATGGACCTATGATACCCGTCCCGCCTTATTGACTCATTCCCCGGTCCCCTCCCAGTCCTGTAATAATTAGTGAAACTGACTTCCATACCATGACCCACAGGACAGACATCTTGTTATATTCATGAGATGGGGACTTTATAGTTATTGTATAGAAATTAGTAAGGTGGATCCCAACATTGGATTTGTTGTGCTGTCTTGAGAGCAAGATGATTGAGAACCTTCACTGACATCTTGGAAGCTTTTGGGGGATTTTGTCATTCCCTTATAATGTATGTATCATATAAGCATATGTAGGCTTTATTCTTAATTTAAATGATACTAATAAGTAAGTAATTGCAACATTTAGCCTACTGAAACTCGTTCATCATTGAGGAAAAAAAACATACTCTGGAGAAATAAGAAATATTTCTTATTTCTCCAGAGTATGTTTTTTTTTCTTGGTGCAGAGAAAAACAACTAATCTGCCAACCAGCGTGATCTGCAACCTTCTGCTAGCACTGACACAAACATGCAACTAATCTCCATGAGATCCCTGTAATAGTCTGAGAGAAAGTAGAGTGTACTAAAAAATAGTTTATTTAAATTCCATGACATTGGGGGAAGATTTGATGAACGGTGGTGCCCCCTAAAGGTAGGCATGACACACGACAACAAGAGGAATTAATTAACTGTCTATAGACCTTTTTCACAGCAACACCTTGAAATGTCATAGCAGGAAAAGCGCAGTTAAAGTTAATAATATTAATTATGGCTATATTTTATTTAGGTGCTTTAGTGCATGCTAGCTAACTGGGACACTTAAATGTAACACAGCCATCACTTAAAGTGATTAGTAACTCCTGTGGTTTCCTTGCTATGACAAGTCAAAATGTCTGCTGTTGGCTAATCACATACATTTCACATTTACATCCATACATCGTATCATTACACATAAACCCAGCAAAAAAAAAAAAGAAGCATTCCTTTTTCAGGACACTGTATTTTAAAGATAATTCTGTAAACATCCAAATGACTTTACAGATCTTGATTGTAAAGAGCGTCAACAAAGTTTTTCATGCTTATTCAATAAACCATAAACAATCATTGAACATGCACCTGTGGAATAGTCGTTAAGACCCTAACAGCATACAGACGGTAGGCAAGTAAATCACAACTAAGAACACTAAAGAGACCTACTCTACTGACTCTAAAATACACCAAAAGAAAGATTCCCAGGGTTCCTGCTCATTTGCGTGAACGTGCCTTAGGCATGCTGTAAGGAGGCATTAGTACTGCTGAAGTTGCCAAAGCAATAGATTGCAATGTCTGTACTGTAAGATGCCTAAGAAGGCACTACGGTAAGACAGGAAGGACAGCTGATGGTTCTCACAGTGGCAGACCACATGTGACAACACCTGCACAGAACCACAGGGCCACACCAGATACTGATTGTTACTTTTGATTTTGAGCCCTCTTTGTTCAGGGACACATTCTTCCATTTCTAGGTAATTTGTAGTTTGTTGCATACACTACACACATTGTTACAAATGTTTGTTGTTGTTTTTTTAAAGGCACTGTACACCTACACAGTTGTTACCACTTTACTGATCACTTGATTACACCTCAGCTCAGGTTCAAGATGGGGAGAGCTATGCTGGAATTACATGAGGTCACCAAACTTCACGAACCAGTAATACATTGAACAAAATTATAAACTCAACACTTTTGTTTCTGCCCCCATTCATCATGAGCTGAACTCTATCTAAGATCTAAGACTTTCTCTATGTACACAAAATATATAACCACGTGTAACCACACCAGCCCAGGACCTCCACACCCAGCATCTTCACCTCCAAGATTGTCTGAGAGCAGCCACCCGGGCAGCTACTGCCACAATCAGTTTGCATAGGGAAGCTCATCTGCATGCTCGTCGTCCTCATCGGGATCTTGACCTGACTGCAGCTTCGCACAGCCATTAAAGAGGAGTGGATCAACATTCCACAGGCCACAATCAACAACCTTTATTGCACTGTGTGAGGTAGATGGTGGTCACACCAGATACTGACTGGTTTCCGGACCCCCCGAACCCTCCCCATAACAGTGAAACTGTACATTTTTACACATGCTGTCTGATCAGCATCTTGATATGCCCCACCTGTGAGGTGGATGGATTATCTCTGCAAAGGAGAAGTTCTCAGTAACACAGATTTGACAGACTTGTAACAATATTTGAGAGAAATAGGCCTTTTGTGTACGTAGAGAAGTATTGTGTCTTTAATTTTGTTCAGTATATTAGACAAAATAAGTGAAACACCAGTGTGGGTGGGCCAAGGTTTTTAATTTCTGCCCTTTTTGTGTGTGTGTGTGTGTTTTTACTATAGCGTTTTGGTGTAGAATTTGTTATATAATATAAATGTAATAAATATTTTCCTTGCCTGGTAGAAGACACTATAGCAGTTTATTAAAAAAACTTGTACCAGATTGACCATTTCCTGCCATAGACATTCTCTGTGTTCCCATTGGCTGGTTAGGATGTTTTCAACAGGAGTGCTATTAAATCACTTTGTGGTGAGCAACACCTCCTGAATCCTACTTCCAGGAATTCTCTTTTCTGCTGTCAGAGGCCCCGTTGACAAGAGGCTCAAACCAAAGAATATACACAACACTCTGGCAGAAACATAACATCACTGCACTATTGCGCCAGTTTTGGTCGTTGGTCCGGCCTTGTG